GTGGTGGTAAGGATGAAACTAGAAAGGCAAAATCTGGGATAGAAAATGCTCGAGAAGGAGAGATATAAAGAACATATTGTAAACCACTTATTCAAGTGGATACAGGCTGCAGTGTAATGCAGCGAGGTGTGGACAAATAGTTGACAGTACGGAATATCATTGCGTAGAAGAAGGGCACTTTCATTAAAGGTCCCATCTGAGAAAGGATCTGAAAAATACAATAAATTATAGCCTGAGATAGGTTGGAAAACAAACGAGTGTAATTTTGGTTCTTGTAAGCAAGCACCAACAGGGGAAAACCTGGAAAGTACATCTGAAGCTCACCCCGATTACCCCTGAGGCCGTGGATATTCCACTGTAAATAGGCCATGATTGGCAATGAAGAAAATACCAGGAAGCCGTAGGGAAGGGCACCTACAGACTAGAGGGGTTAGAAAAGTCAACGTGTGGTGGCATTGGAAGATGTTCAAGCAGCGAAGGAACGGAGCGTTGTGAAGAATGGAGTTGTGAAGATGGAGGAGAGGGAAGAGAAGGAACAGGAGGTGAATCAGTGTCCATTGAAGGTTTAGTCTCTGCAATATATTCTGAAATGGCTTCAAGTGTTTCTGAATTCAAAGATGTATGGGAGACCATATTGGAGGTAGAAGGAGGAGGGTGAGTAAAGATTGGGACAGTAGTGGACTGTACCAAAGTAGAGGGGGACGAAAGAGTGTAGGGGACTGGAGATGAAGTGTGGGGGGGACAGAAGAAGCAGAAACCTGGGAGGTGGCAGAAGAGGGAGAAACTTGGGAGGGGACGGGGGTGGAAGGCATAGTACGAGGAGGAGGGTGAACCTCCACACTTGTAATAGAGCCAGAGAGAGGGGAAGAACTAGGCACAGAGACTGGAAAGGTAAAGTGTGGAGGTGGAAGAAGGGAAGGAAGGGGCAAAGAAGATTTGAGCAATGTGGATTTTTTGGACTTCTGAGAAGTAGAGGGGCGATTGGTATAAGGTGTCGTACGAGGTCTTGTCGATACTGGGCCTTGTGAGGAAGGACACGAAGCTGTGAGAACAGACTGAGTTGTAGTCGGGATGTCAGAGCCAAGGACAGCAAAAGGATTAGATGCCGGAGTGGCTATGGGAGGGGTAACAACAGAGGAGGCTGCAGAAGATGGGACCCCAGAAGTGGAGGGATGTTTTGAAACATGAGAATAAGAAACGCGGGGTAGTCTTCCTTGGAGGCGGAGATGAGTAACTGCCATAGCATAAGGGAGACCTTCTGCCTCTTTGAGGCAACGGATTTCACGTTCATTTAAGTAGACCTGGCAACGGCGGGAGTACGAAGGGTGAGCTTCATTACAATTAAGGCAAGATGGAGGTTGACTGCAAGATGTATTAGAATGGTCGTCGGCACCACAGACTGGGCATTCGGCTGTAGATCTGCAATATTTCGCTGGGTGACCAAAACGCCAGCAATTTCTACACTGTTGTGGTGTAGAGATCACCTTTCAAACTTGTAACGTATGTCCCACGACATAAACAGAGGATGGGAGTTCTCGGCTGTCGAAAGTTAATCAAGCCACATTGCAAGGGTAACGTCTTCGCCCACGGGCAGGAAGGACATAACTGTCGACTTTGAGGATTGGGAGATCCTGGAGTTCCAGCTGTTCAAGAATGTCATTGCCACATGACTGGAAATTCTGTTGGACTATGGTATGGGGCAGAATGACAGTACCACTACAAGAATTGAGAGAAAGATGTTTTTCAATAGTGATAGGAGTAGTATCAATATGCGAAAGGAGAGAGAGATCATGAGCTTGGGTAGCATTCTGGACAGTGACAATGAGCGTACCACTCTTGAGAGCATGAAATGAAATATCTACCAACATGACGCAGGAGCGCTTTGCCAATACAGTGGACCCCCGCATAGCGAACTTAATCCGTGCAAGAGGGCTGGTCGTTATGCGAAATGTTCGCTATGCGAATTAATTTTCCCCATAAGAAATAATGGAAATAAAATTAATCCGTGCAAGACACCCAAAAGTATGAAAAAAAAATTTTTTACCACAAAAAAATGTTAATTTTAGTACACACAAACTGAAAAAGGCATGCACAATTACATGACACTTACTTTTATTGAAGATCTGGTGATGATTGATGGGATGGGAGGAGGGGAGAGAGAGTGTTAGTGTTTAGAAGGGGAATCCCCTTCCATTAGGACTTGAGGTAGCAAGTCCTTTTCTGGGGTTACTTCCCTTCTTCTTTTAATGCCACTAGGACCAGCTTCAGGTACTGACTTCTTTAAAATTTTTTTAAAATTTTTGTTGGGGCCCATTTGGAAGAAGGGGGGGTTTTAAGTTGGGGGAAGGGGGGCTGCCGGGGGGGAAAGAAAAAACTTAAGGGGGGGGGGAAAAAGGAAAAAAAAAAGGGGGGCCCCCCGGGGGGGGGCTGGGAGGGCGGGGGGGAAGGTTAACAGGAGGAGGTTTAATCCCCTTTGAAATAAAAAAGGGGGGGAAAAAAAGGGAAAGGGAAATAAAGTGGGGGGGGGGGAAGGGGGGAAAAAAACTGGGTTTTTTTGGGACTTTAAAAAAATGGGGGATTTAAAAGGTTTCGATTTCTTTCAGGGCCCCTTTGGGGAAGGAACAAGTTAAAAGCTTATTGTTGGGTGCCCCGGCGGGGGGGGGGGGTTTCCCCGGAGGGCTTAAATAAAAAAGGGAGGTCAGAAGTGGGCCCCCGGGGGGGGGGGTTTTCCCTAAAAACCCGGGGAGTTTTCCTTGGGGTAATTTTGGAATCCCATAGCAAAAAAACCCCCCCTTTTTAATTTCATTTTCATTTAAGTGCGGCAAATAAAGGGTGACTTCTTACTTCAAAGGGGGTTGCTGAAGAGTATTAAATGGGTGGCCCAAACCATTGGCTTAATCTAAATTTTCCCTTTGGGTCCAAAAACCTTTTTTAATTTTTGGGGGAAATCCCTTAAAACTTGACCTTGCCCCAATAAACAGGGGGGGGGTTCTGGCGGGAAGAATCCCCCACTTAAATTTAAGTTTTTCCCACCAGGGGAATTTCACTTTGGGGTTTTGGGGTTGGAATTAAAGTTTGAATGTCATTCCAAAAAGGGGAAAACTTTTATAGGTTATGGGGTAAGTACCGGGGAAAAAAAATTTTTTTTAAAAGGGAGGGGAATTAGGGGGAGGGGCCCTTTGAGCTTGGGTTTCCCTGGCGGGGGCTCCATCGGAGGAAAAAAAAATTTCTTCCAATGCGAAAGGGGGCCTTTGGGGGCCTTTTGGTCAAAAAGATAGGCAAAAGAAGTCAGTCTTTAAAGTAAAGAATTTAGTCCTTGTGTGGTCCGAAACTGAGTTGGAGGGGATTTGCTACGTGTCGGTCTTTTCGGTGAATGGGAAGGTAACGAAGGAAATCATCAGGAAAATTTTTGGCGTTTAGGAGTAGGACCGGAGTTGGTCTGTCTTGAAAAGGGCTGGCGTTCGAAAATTTCCGTAGTAGAGGGAGGGATGGGGCATTTTAAAAGGGGAGCAGGGTCAGACAAATCGAAGGAGTCAGTCGAAGCCCCGGTACCCGAGCGGATGAGGAAAAAGCACCAGCAAGGGTACGGGGCATTAGGGGGTGTTAAGAGTGGTTAAAAACAAGGCAGGGTCAGAATGGGGTGTGGTTCAAGAAGGGGCCCCCGGGAGGGGGGTTCATGGATTGGGTTCTCCATGGTTAGGGGTTCTCCTTTGCTTTTTGTTTTTAAGAAAAAAAAACTAGCCAGATGCGCATGGAAAACCCCCGCATACCAACCCCCATGCAGTAAACGCAATCCTGGATAGCAACCTACATCTGCCGAGCACCTCGGTGGAAAAGAGAGGGGGCGGATATCCGCACAAAAATACCTCCTTTGGCCACCAACCCCGGAATCCCAAAAATGGGTTCAGAGATTCCCTCACCCGAAAAAACACCCAAAGCTACACTCCCGGATCGGAGAGGGATCGGGAAACCCCAGGCGATCCGATTCCCGGGGAAAAACCCCCGCCAAGAACCTCAATGGAATGGGATGGACCCCGGTATCCTTTCCCCTTACCTAGGAACTAGCGTGCCTATGGGAGAAATCCCAAAGGCCAAAAAGAGGAAGGGCAAAAGGGAGGGGTGGGGAGGAGGAGGAAAGGAAAAAGGGGAGGATAGGGAGGATGGGATAGGGAAAGGGGGGATTTGGGGGTAATTAGGTTCGGTCTGAGGAAGGACACCGGCAGGTCTAATTCCTCAGACCAAGAGCCTCTTCACCACAACAAGGAGCCCCCCTTGAAGAGGTGACTATACACAGAAGTTATTTGCAGTAATTTACAGGCAGGCCAGGTAGGCTAGAGAAGTTTGTGAATTTAATTATTTACAGTGATTATAAGTAATCCAGAGTAGGAGACTTGTGTGTTAATTACTTAGTGGATTTGCAAGGTAGCCACAGTTAGGCTAGGCTTGTGCAATATTTACAACAGTTCTAGTAGCTAGGATAGATTTAACCTAGTTATTATTTACAGGGAGTTCTAAAGCCAGGTTTAAGCTATAGCACACTAGTTATGTTAGGATTTACCTTATCCAACCATCCACGCTAGACTGAGTAAGCTGGGCACAGTTAGGCCAAGCTGTTTACACACATTTTTCATTTACTGTTTCACAAGTTGAATTGTTGAATTTATTTGTGCTAACCAAGTGATTTTTAATTTGTATACTGCATTTTTTTTATTGTGTGATTTTCATTGTCTTTGACTCATTTTAATGTGGGGTTTGTGAATTGTACCTGAGACTAGGTTAAGTCCTGTAATTATTTGCTGACATTGTACAGGAAATTGCTAGGTTAAGCTTTCACATCGATACACATTTCGATTGGGATTTGAGAGCTAACAGTGTACATTTTTGATTCAGAGTAGTCAATATAATAAAGGGAGTTGTTAAGCTTGTTGAGAAGCCTTGAGACTCGTTCATTCTTGCCTAATACCGTTCGTGCTGTGGGTGGGCTAATTGAATACAATTAGTACCATGATCTTAACTAAACTGCAACTGTGGTAGGTGAAGATGAAGTACCAGCTGTCTCAGCTCTAAGTCAATTAAAGCAGTCTATGGGAGCCTATAAGGGACGCCTGAGCAAAGCATGTGAGGAGTGTCGTATGGCCAGGCAAGATCAGGATGTAGACTGTGAGGAACTTGAGAGTTGCCTGAAACCTTTGGAGCAAAGGCTGGAGGCCTTTGAGAGATCATTTATCCTTTATGAGACAGAGGCCTATGCTGCAGGTGAGTCTGACTATACAGTCGAGGTAAACATCAAAATGGTATACAATACCGACAGGTTGTTAGGTAAGACACATATGCAACAGTTAGACAACTTTATTCCGAAACGTTTCGCCTACACAGTAGGCTTCTTCAGTCGAATACAGAAAATAGGCAGGAACAGTAGAGATGTGAAGACGATGTAATCAGTCCATCACCCTTGAAGTCGTAGAATTTGAGGTTGTCAGTCCCTCGGCCTGGAGAAGTTCAGTTCCATAGTCAGGAACTATCTGAAGATCAAGCGACAGTGCGGAGGCGAAACGTTTCGGAATAAAGTTGTCTAACTGTTGCATATGTGTCTTACCTAACAACAGTCGAGGTAGCACGGAAGGACTATGACGAACGAAGGACAGAGTGTAAAGCAGAGATGAGACTCTGCAGGCAGTTAATAAAGACTTTGAAGGCCGGTACAGCAGGGGCAGCAAATGTTTCAGGGAACACGAACAACAGCACGCCTGTTTATGTGTTGCCCAGATTGCCCCAGTTTAATTTACCAACGTTCGACAGAACCTTAACAGAGTACATTGCTTTCTGGGATCAGTTTAAAGCCCAGATAGATGACAGAGACGATTTGTCAGATGCCGTCAAATTACAGTATTTACGTTCACAGCTCAAGGATAAAGCCTTGGACTTGGTCTGGCATTACCAAACCACTGACACTAATTACCAACATCCCAAATTCCAATTAAAGGACATTTTTGGCAACACTGATGAGATAAAGGTAGCTATACTTTGTCGGTTGTTGGATCTAGAGGCTTGTCGCCATGACCGTCAGAGCCTAGAGAAGTTCCGAATCGAAGTTATGAGTTTGACAAATAGTCTTAAAGATTTACATGATTGGGGTAAGTCAGAATGGTTCATCAGTCAGGTGATTCAGAGGAAACTGGCTGGCACTACAGTGCATGAGTTACACTTAAAATATCAGACGAACCGGTTCACGATACAACAAATTGCTGAGGGGTTGGGAGATCTCGTTTCTCATTTGAGTATAGGTGTGAGAGCAGAGTCACCACTATCACTACATAAAAACCCAGACAGTTACTCAAAGATCTCGAGAGATCAGTCTAAAGCTCATACGACTAACGTTGGAGTGTACTTTGGTAAAGTGTCTAAGGTAAGAACCTCTAAGCAGAACCTCAGAGACACTCATGCCAGAATATGCTTGTTCTGTGAAGGCGAACACGCTAGCACGAGTTGCTCAGAGTATACAACACTGAGCAGTAGGCAACAGAGACTAAAGGAGTTGAGACTTTGTTTCAAGTGTTGTGGAGAACACTTTGCGAGAGACTGTGGCGCCCAACTCAGTGAGTGTCGAGTCTGTTGCAAAGGTAAGCACCATACTGCACTATGTCCCAATAATTTAAGAGAACCCCAGGCTACTAGGGATATCTCTCAGGTAGAGATAGAAAGTGAGTCTGAGCCTGAAATGGTAGCCAGCATGATTAGTGGGAATGAAGTCTCTAATCCGAGTGAGAATCACGGAGGTGCTGCCCTACCTACAGTCATGGCAAAGGTTGTGAATGGGCACAGGTCCAAAACAACCTGATTATTGAAATTAAGACACATGTGCAACATCTGGGTATCTTTAAAATAAAGATACTCAGATGTTGCACAGTGTCTTAATTTCATCTTGTCGGTATTATATACCATTCTTGCACAACCCGATTATTCTTTGACTCAGGAGCACAAGTATCCTTGATACAAAGAAGTTGGTGGATAAATTAAAGTTGAAGGCCACAAGGAAAGTTAGTATGATGTTGGGAGGGGCTATAAGTCAGGCCCCACCCAAATCTTATGATGAGGTGGATGTCACAGTCAAATTAGGTGGACATCGCAGACATTACAGCCTTGGTGGTAGAGACATTACCCACGGCAATTACAGCGAGAGGTCTTGCTGCAGCAGCTAAGCGATTGAAAGACCTTGACGTGAAGCTGGCAGACCAGGGAATTACCACTGACACAGTCAGAAATGTAGGTATCCTGGTGGGAGCCAATCATATAGATGACTTCCTGTTTACACGACGGACGTTTAGGGAAGGAATTGGTTTATACAGATCCCCAGTAGGATACATCATAGGCAGCAGGATTCCACCTGAATTCCCTGCCACGCCAGATAGAGAAGAAGCTGTCCCCATGATAGCTGGGGGAGTAGTGATAATGAGTACCAGTATACACGATGAACTGCCAGGGAAGCTGAACCAGGTAGGGAGTGACGAACACTCGGCCACCTTGGGAAAACACTTTTACAGAGTACGTAAAGAGGGAGATATTGCCATTAAATCCAGGGAACCTCGTATCAGTGGGAGGAAAGGCTACCAGGGCATGTGGGCCACTGGATGGGAAACTACGGAGCCACTCAGTTAAGGCTAGACATATGAAAGATGTTAGTTAAAGGAAAGGGTGCTAAGACCACCAGAACCAACAAGTTTACACCCCCAGAAGTCCATGCAGGGGAAACTGGACAGTTGAAGTTAGACCGGAGTCTGCTCGATGAGGTGGCTGGACGGCACTCGTGTCCATGGTCCGCCGTGGGGGCTTGCGGAAGGTGAATTTGATTTAGACTTAGTGCCTACCTTCGCCGGCAGGAGGATGTTGGAACTTATTCAGTCCGAGAAGTCCCAACGGGGAAAAACACACTGTTCGAGGGCCCTTAAACCCACCCAAAACACAAACACACTCACCCGGGTTGGCGAAGGTGGTTGGAAGGTACTTCTTAATTGATAGATTTACCCTTCAGGGAAGAAGTAGGGAGTTTATACTGTTAGTACACTAATATTAGGATTATTGGGGCAACTGTAGATAATAATAGTGTAGACCTGAGACCTTAACATAGGTAGTAATAGGCCAAATGTAGGCAAACACTAGGTTAAGTTAGCTAGGGAGAACTGGCAGCCCAAGTTTGAACGACGAGGCACGGGTCTTGAAGACGCCAGATCTTTCTTCTAGGACCAGACACCAACTGGACAAGACGTGCCATGATCAGCATGCGGCGCCCCCACGTGTCTTCACATATGAGACCTGGGGAAATCTGGTGGAGGCACCTCGATGTACTGTAGATGACCTCCTCCATCAGGCCCTTACAGTAAGACAAGACCTCCATTTTTTCTTAGGATTCTGGCCAGGGTCTGGGGAAAATTGCGAGTGAGTCATGCTGTGGCCTTTGTGCAGCCAGCAGTTCATGACCAGTATGTGAATTTGTCTCTTGTCAACCTAGAAGCTAGTGTCCGTTTCTGCATAGTTATACTAGGGGATACACACCCTCTTGGATACAGGAATTTCTGAGGTGCAGGCTGGTCACTAATATCGACTGAATATTGTAGGAACTAAGGCTCCCGGCTGCACGTGGTTTCTGAGGGGAAGTCCAAAGGGGCTAAGCTTAGGGAGGTTGAAGACCAGAATAGCTTCTTCATCACCAAGCAAGTTAGTCCTTTAAACGTGCATGCAGGCGAGATTTCTTGCAACATCAGTCATTTATGAAAATCTGTCCTATAAGCCACTTGTGAGGCTGGGATACCGACCTCAGAGCTCGGTGTCAACAGAGCTTGCCAGGGAAGGCAACTCACTTGGAGGCAGTCCAGACAAATTTTCACAACCATTTTCCACTTGTCAGGCACTATGCCAGTTTGTCGTGATATGTTGAAAAGATTAGCTAAAGGTATGCTAAGTTCCTCTTTACATTCCTCTAACACCCTTACAAACAGTTCATCAGGGCATGGGCATTTGTTAGCTTTTAATTTCTTTGAGGACCACGTCACTAGTTACCGCAATCGTGCAGAATTTCTTAGTCCTGTTCTACATAATCTATTATTTCTGGAATTTCGTTAGTATCTTCTCGAGTTAAAACTGAGAGGAAGTAAGAATTGAAAATTTCCCACATGTCAGATCACTGATAGTGATAAGGATCTGAGTTACTCTTAAGTGAGCCTATCTTGTCCCTAATCTTGCTTCTGTATACCTGAAAGAACCCTTTTGGGTTAGTCTTCGAATCCCTTGCAACCTTAGCCTCCTAATCCTTTTTTGATTTTCTTGTTCCTTTTATTTCTCTCTTTAATTGACTATATTGAGTTCTTAACTGCCCCTCCCCTCTTTCGATATGCCTATCTTTTGACCAATGAGATGTTTGTCTATTGTTCATCCATTTGGGATGAATTAGAACTATGCTCTGAAAAACGTCATATTGGCAACCAACACCAGCTACCTGACCCATAGTCAGGACATCCCAATTTAGCCCACCCAATTTAGCCATCCCAATTTAGCCCAGGCTCCAGGCGGACATCAACCAAATCTTTCAGTGGGCTGCAGAAAACAATATGAAGTTCAACGATGAGAAATTTCAATTACTCAGATATGGTAAACACGAGGAAATTAAATCGTCATCAGAGTACAAAACAAATTCTGGCCACAAAATAGAGCGAAACACCAACGTCAAAGACCTGGGAGTGATCATGTCAGAGGATCTCACCTTCAAGGACCATAACATTGTATCAATCGCATCTGCTAGAAAAATGACAGGATGGATAATGAGAACCTTCAAAACTAGGGAGGCCAAGCCCATGATGACACTCTTCAGGTCACTTGTTCTATCTAGGCTGGAATATTGCTGCACACTAACAGCACCTTTCAAGGCAGGTGAAATTGCTGACCTAGAAAATGTACAGAGAACCTTCACGGCGCGCATAACGGAGATAAAACACCTCAATTACTTGGAGCGCTTGAGGTTCCTAAACCTGTATTCCCTGGAACGCAGGCATGAGAGATACATGATTATATACACCTGGAAAATCCTAGAGGGACTAGTACCGAACTTGCACACGAAAATCACTCACTACGAAAGCAAAAGACTTGGCAGACGATGCACCATCCCCCCAATGAAAAGCAGGGGTGTCACTAGCACGTTAAGAGACCGTACAATAAGTGTCAGGGGCCCGAGACTGTTCAACTGCCTCCCAGCATACATAAGGGGGATTACCAACAGACCCTTGGCAGTCTTCAAGCTGGCACTGGACAAGTACCTAAAGTCAGTTCCTGACCAGCCGGGCTGTGGCTCGTACGTTGGTTTGCGTGCAGCCAGCAGCAACAGCCTGGTTGATCAGGCTCTGATCCACCAGGAGGCCTGGTCACAGACCGGGCTGTGGGGACGTTGACCCCCGGAACTCTCCCCAGGTAACCCAGGTAAACCCAGGTAATTTTTCAGTCCCATGAAGTCGCCCAAGCAAAAGTCTGGGACAGAGATTTGATTGCAGTTATCCCGGTAACTCCATGATATATTGAAACTAAGTGATTTGTGATCACTTTCCCCTAGCTCATCATTAACCTCAAGATTATTAACTAGTGATTGTTGGCAAGAACCAAGTTAAGTAGATTGCTTCCTCTAGTTGGTTCTGTCACAGACTGTTTTAAATAGCAATCCTGAACCGTATCAAGAAAGTCACTAGACTCAAGATTTTCTGTCACATTGTTCCAATCAATTTGTCTAAAGTTAAAATCTCCCATTAACATTGCATTTTCATATCTAGATGCCTTACGAATTTCGTCCCATAGCAGCTTACAACAATCGCTATCTAGGTGTGGGGGCCTATAAATCACACCCAAAATTAACTTTTCATAACCCTCGAGAAACTGGAGCCAAACAGATTGTGTCTGACGTTTCTAATCTTGTATCTTGTCTAACACAACATTTTAAATTATCTCTGACATACATCGCCTCTCCACCACCTTTCCTGTTGATCCCATCAGTATGGAATAGTTTATAACCCTGTATGTTGCATTCAGAGGGCATTTCTCTATCTTTCAAGTTGAACCAAGTTTCTGTTATATCAATAATATCTGTATTACCAGCACTTGCAAGTAATCTTAGCTCATCTATCTTATTTCTTAGACTCCTACTATTTGTATAGTAAACCTTAAGGGAGCTAGTCACTCGTTGCCCTCTACTATCTCTTTGTTGATCAATTGATTTGCCTTTTCTAGCAACTTTATTTCGAATGTTGTCTTTTAAACATATCCCTGAGGTAGCCTGGTTATATCTGCCGTTTTCAACCCTAGTACTGCAGCCTGATTGTTTCCCACAGACACCCATACCTCTATAATCTATCAGTTTAAATTCCTAGACAAGTCATCAATGACCCCCCTCAATCGAATTGGCTAATACAACCACTCCAGCCCCCGAGAGATGAACCCCATCCCTTGCATACATATCATGCTTGCCATAGAATATGTCCCAGTTATCAATGAATGGGATTGTAAGTTCCTTGCAGTACCTATCTAGCCAGCAATTTATACCAATCGCCCTAGACATCCATTCATTGCCCACTCCCCTTCTAGGTAAGATGCTACATATGATTAGCATCCCTCCCTTAGACCTGACTACATCTATGGCTGACCTATACTTATCCAGCAGCTCCTGTCTCCTGCCATTCCCAATGTCATTTCCACCAGCACTAAGACAGATAATGGGCTTGTTCCCATTGCCTGACATATTATCCAACCTGCTGACTGTCACCAACACCAGCTCCTGGTGTTGGTGACTATAGATGCAAATGGGATTTGATGTACTGTTAGTGTTAACATCTATGAAGGGATTTAGAAAAGTAATTAAAAAAAATTTTGATGCATGATCACAAATCGCCTCCCATTCACAGGATGCCATGAAACTTCCTCAGAACACCGATGAAGAGCGTGAAATACAGAGAACAGCAATGGCAGCTGCGATAGAAGAAACCATTCAGGTGCCCTTGTCAGTCCTCAAGATATTGAACACTTCCACCTGGGATGCCCTCATTCAGCTGGCTGCTGTTGGCAACATTAATTGCAAGTCTGATCTCCAGGTATGGTTGACATGGAACAATTATATTCATGTATACCTTAATTAAAGAACAAATAATTTACCAAAAAGGAAATAGTGAAACCTCAGTTGCTGAATTTAATTTGTTCCGGATGTAGATTCAACGACCAAAACAGACAACCAAAGCAATTTTTCCCATAAAGGATAATGTAAATAGAATTAATCTGTTCCAAACCCCAAATGTATAATAATTTATTATAAATGTACTAACTACTACATAAAACTAAAACTGAATCCTAAAAGAAACTTTAACTGAAATACTGTAAAGTAAATTAAAATTTAACTGCCTCTTACCTGTCAGAGGAGAGCTAATGACATACCGGAAGCAGAAGGTGGTGAGGAAGGGGGGTATGAGACTGCTTGGAAGAAGTTGGGCAACTCTTTCATAATATTGGGCAACTCTTTTGGTGTTTTTCTTTCTCTTCACTGCTACCACCTTGTTCTCACTAAAAACCTGTCCAGTGAGGTTTGTTTCAGGTTCAGATTTAACACTTGCCCGAATCGAGACATTACACTGTCAGGCAGACTGCTGTGTGATCTGCAGCACATGACCTACCAGTTTTATATAGAGGTACTCCATTCTCTGACTATTTTTCTGTAATCTCTCCCCACCTTCGCAGTCGTTGGCAATAACGTTGGGCTGATATGACTCCTAGCAAATTACATTCTATCAAACCAAGTTTGGGTTTCTGGCCTCCTTGTCATAGATACCAAGGTTGGGAGACATCCTTGTCTTCGCATTGGACATTCATCTAACTCGTGGGTATCTCAAGGAGAGGCGTCCTGTTCCACTTTGTGAGAATTGTCTAGTTCCTGTTTCAGTTTCCCGTATTCTATTGGACTGTCCTGTCTATCACCAAGCACGCAGAATTTTCCTCTGACATCATCACTGCTTTAATGCCCTTACTCTGTTTTCCCTCCTTGCTGATGGACCCACTTTTGACAGACTCCCTCTTCAACTTTTTGGCAGCAACCGATTTATTACACAAACTTCCTTTAGCACTCCTCACAGCCCCTCGTAACTTTACCTTTGTCATCTCCGCCATTATTTATCCTTAGATCCTGCATCAGTTCCTACCCTGCAGCACTATATGACCCTGGTAGGTTTAGCTTGTGGCCTTTGCCTTAATATAACTCTTGTGCCTTTTGAAAGGTCAACTGCTTTAATTTTTTTCCCTTTGGCCCAGTATTGTGCTGATAATAGATGCTGATTTACCAGAAAGTTTTGCTATATCAACCACATGGAGCCTATCTTCATACTTTCGAATAACTTCTTTCTTAAACTCGGCAGTGCTTTTTACAACTTTTTTTTTTGCTTTCATCTCATTATCCTTCTTTGGACTCATGATGGCTTATCTTGCAATAAAAAAAAAAAACTGCACCAAAACTGCAAATGAACAAAAAAAGTTCACAAGATGCACAACAAAAGCTCAAGAAATGTTTACAGCACACAAGTTTGTGGCTATACTGATTGAGACCCACGCTGTCAACTCATTGTCTGGCGAGCTGCTTTGTCTCATTCACATTCTGTCGACAACCAAGAGCATACACGAAAAGCAGGACATTTTTTTCCGAATTCCTCGTTAGAAAATGATCTGTTCGACAAGTAAGGCATTCAACAACCAAGGTTCCACTGTAGAGTACGCTCTGGTGTGATGTATGCATTACCCAGTCAGTGATTGTGGGACAATGCCTAAGTGTGGCTAAAATGTAAATCTTAGCTGGGAAAGATTGTAAACAGCAACTGTTCAATCTTTTTAAGGAACTGGTTAAATAATTTATTAGTGTTAATTACGACAAACTATATACAGCCTTTCCTTGCTTAACGAGGGAGTTCCGTTCCTAAGACCATGTTAAATGAGTTCGTCGCTAAGTGAGGAGCTTGCTTTAATGGTGGTGGGTTTGTGTTGACCATCTTTGATATTGTTTTAATGTCACCTTTGCACCATTACTGGTATATTTTTAAATGTTTATACAATACGTAGTGTACTGTATATTGAAATAAACAGAATAGAGGAAATCAGCTCTGATATATATTATTTAGGTATAAATACTGGTCAGAGCCCGTCGTAAATCTGAGGCATCTGTAAAAGAGTACGTCGCTAAGTGAGGAGAGGTTGTATAGTGAACAACAGCCATTATACCGTAGTAAGGGTATTGGTCCAAATCATGACACTTGATAATCCTCTGCAGTTAAGCTCGGTTGTGTGCCTATATAAAGCATTATACAAGGTTTACATTGTACATTTTTCTATTGTACATAGAAAAGTTCATGGTTATTCAGTGCAATCCAGGTAAACTAAAGAATAAGGTTAAATCAGTTACAATAAAAGATGTACTAAAATGTTTGAGAATTTGATTTAAGAATTAGGAGTGAATTACTTTATCTTCATGCCTGAGTGTGACAATAGATATTAGGACAAGAAATATAAGTACAGTACAGTGACATAAGTATTAACTCGTGTAATAATTTTTGGTACATTGAACATGGAAGTATAACTCAATTTATGGCAAGGTGGTGCTTTACAGCTTTAAAACAGTTGAAATCTGGCAGTTTCAAATTTTGGGGCATTTTATGAAGTGAATTTTTACTCAGGTTGAATTGAACACTGGGGACATCAGAGGTATTTCTTTCTTGTATTGTGCCTGTAAGTTGTTTATAGCTCTCCAGGCATTGTTATTGTCCTGTGTATGTACTTGCAGATTTGTATACTCTATTTGTGGTTGCAGGGGTTAATCCTGGCCCTGCCTCTTAACTTGCCACTCTTCAGTCACTCCATCTTAGCCTCGTATGCCCTATCATACTTGCTCTTAAAACTCTGATTCGAGCCTGCCTCCAGCTCTCCAACATCACTACATTTCCTGACCACTGAGACTGAAAAAATACTTCCTAACTGGAGTTCATCTGTGACTTTAATTTACAGCAGTGTTCCCATTCCATGCCTCTGTTCTATCCCTGTCTACCTCATTAATTTGCTTGGGTATTTTGTATCTTTTCCCTGGTTTGTGTCTTCCAATGTTGTTGGGTACAATTTCTCATATTTCCTGCCCATTAACTCAGGAGCAAGCCTTGTTGCATACTTCTGTCCTTTCTTGAGTTGCTTAACATTTTCAGGCATAGGTTACATGCCGATGCTGCATACTGTAAGATGAACCTAACATATCTTGTATAAAGGGCCCAGAATGATTTTGTTGGGATACCTGAAGACTCTTAAGCCAGACAAGCATTGGCAACAAAGGTTATTTGGTTGATGTGGTATACTGAGCACTAGGCTCACTCCTAGGTCTTTTTGAGTGAAGTCTGCAGCAACCTTTGTTTCCTTAGTCTGCACCCCCATTTCTGGTGTGTCATAATGTATGTAATACAGTGGAACCTCAACTTATGCATGTCCCAGCATGTTCATTTTTCAAGATACATGCCGTCGCTCTGTCTATTCTTTGCTCCGAGTTATGAGCCAACATCCAAGTTACGAGCGAGCTTCCCCCTCGACCTATTACCCACCCACCTCGCTTATTTATCTATGATTTCATGCTTTAATTCCATGGACATCATCATTTTTTTTTTCTCAGCACTGTCTTTTGTACTTACTTTCTTAGGACCCATGGTTAGAAAAAAGAAATTTTCTTAGGACCCATGGTTAGAAAAAAAATTTGGCAGAGTAACTGCACAAAATGCAAGCAAAACACGAGAGAAATGCTTTCACGGTGAGGTAAACAGTGCACCGAGTTGGCGGCATTCTGAAGCTCTGTTATTAATAATAATAATTATAATGAGAGGGCTTCAGTTCCCTAAATTAATAATAGAGGAGCTTCAGAATGCCGACAACTCGGTGCACTGTTTACCTCACTGTGGAAGCATTTCTCTCGTGTTTTGCTTGCATTTTGTGCAGTTACTCTGCCAAATTTCTTTTTTCTAACCATGGGTCCTAAGAAAGTAAGTACAAAGGACAGTGCTGAGAAGAAAGAGGATGATGTCCATGGAATTAAAGCATGAAATCATAGATAAACAAGTAAGGTGTATGGGTTGTAGCATTAAGAGTGTAGAAAGCAAATACATTGTTTCAGTGTTTTCCTTATGAAACTAGTGATCTAGTGCAGTTAGCCTCATAAACACTCCATTTTTCCTCATAAGATCATGGGAAGATAGGGTCAGAGTGGGAGCGGGAATGGCCGCCACCACGCTGCATTGTGACGTATTTTATTCATTCTAAAGTATATATCGTGTTTTGTTAATTATATTGTTTATTATGCCATTAGATGAATTGATAGATAAATAAGCTGTAGAGTTGATATTAGTATTTTGTCCTGCCTCCCAAGAGCAGAAATCCTGCTGGAATGGATTAATGGCATTTAAATTAATTTAAATGAGGAAAATTGATTTGATATATGAGCAAGTTGAGTTATGAGCTAGGTCATGGAACAGATTAAACTCGCAAGTCGAGGTTCCATTGTATACAGTAGTACGAGTGCTTTATATGTACGTTATGAGATCAAACGTTAAAGGGGGGGAGGGGGAGTATGTTGTCTGGCATGTGCTTAAATGATCATTTATACAGCATTTTTTTTTTCTTTTGAGTTACTATAGGCTTTGGGTGATTGGCTGTAGATCCCCAGGCACAAATACAATAGGCGAGGTAAGGATAGATTTAGAGTAGTACAGAGTTATTAATGTTTGCTCACTGTTTTGAGATAATATACAATAAAAGCTTTTTAATGGTGTACTGTACATTGATTTAAAGTGTTTTCTGTACATTACACCAGGTATTTCATTATTGGCTCTTGGTGTTGGAAAACTATGCAGCTTAAAATAATACTTGATCTGTGTTGGGCAGGTTGGAGCGAGGTGTTTGGAAGCTGGGGCATGGGGAGCCTACTACAATGTCAAAATTAATTTGAGCAACATAAGTGATGAGTCTGTCAGAGACAATTACTTGAAAGAAGCAGATGACCTCCTTGAGCAAGCCAAACAAAGCTGCAGCAAAGTCTTAGATGCTGTTAACAAGAGAGAGAATTGATGTGCCATTACCAGAAAAAAAAATTGCAGGTCTACTGTTTATGTAAAAGTTGTGTAAAAAAAAAAAAAAAAATTGAATACTTATTTTGCCATCTACCCCTCTTGGTTATTGGATGTCTTGCACTGTAAAAATGATTTTATTAAATTTGACACAAAAAATCAGTATTGTAGTTAAATTAGTTTTCACTTAAAACTGCTAAATGTTAAAGAACTAGTTTTCTTGTTTCCCAAATATAAATGGTTTAGGTCATTTCAGATTTTCTGTGACAGCTGTGTTTAGTGATATCACAAAAGCATTGCATAATGGGATTCTTGGGTTTTCTACACAATTACCACTTATAGTAGCATGTAGTATTACTCATGGTTTGCAACACTTAATTCCATGAGGGATTTTATTTCCTTTTGTGATATGATAGTGCAAAAATATTTTTGTACAATAGCCACTTTCGTTATAACGAAGAGGTAGCATTTTATTCATCTTTGGTTTCTCAATGCAAATGCTACTTCTGTAACACCCCAATGAATGTAATGCATACTTCCATGAAAGTAGTAAGAAACTGTGCTACTTTTGTGATGCAAAATTAGCACCAAATTTTGCAACTGCACCTCCTGAAGGGGGCTTCTTGGTGTGGTGAAGAGGCTCTTGGTATGTGGAGTTCAACTTTTTGGTCTCCTTTCTCAGAGTGAACCTAATTACCCCCTTCCCTATCCCATCCTCCCATTTCACTTCCCTCCTCTCCCCTTCCTGTTTTCAGCCTTTGGGATCCTTCCCACAGACACTCTAGTTCCTAGGTAGGGGGAAGGGTACTGTGGTCCATCCCATTCTACTGAGGTCTGTGGTGGCAGCAGGTATCCAGCACCCCCTGTTGTCTACCAAGGTGGCTCAGTAAATGTGAGGATACTATCCTAGATTGTTGGTGTACTGGCATGAAGGGTAGGGTATGGCATGGGTTTAATGCTGCATCTGCATTACTTGTGGTACTGGGGGTCCTCTTTGGTATGGAGGGGGATTTATGGCCCTTTTTTTTTTTTTTTTTTATAAACAAAGAATTGATGTAACCATGTAGTCCCAAGTCCATGAAACAGCTTCCCCGGGCCCCTTTCTGCTACCACACCTTGTTCCAACCCTACCTTATTTGACCACCCTTCGGACATTTCTCATGCCCATTGTACCTCCTGCTGGTGCCGTTTCACCACCCACTCCCGGTACCAGGGTTCTGCCTGATCTCTTGATACATCTGGCCTCCACACTTCTTTGAACATGCTTCTGGCTTCTCCCTCCATGGTGCAGCAATTTTCGAAGTGCCTGCCCATCCCACGTCGGACTAACTCCGGTCCCACGCCTAAACACCCAAGATGATACTACTCCGCTTCCTTCTCATTCTGCCCAGAAAAGATTGGCACAACACTCCCTCCCCTTACATGCTACGTTTCAAAATACACAATGGACTAGTTTTTTTATTCTGTGACAACTCTTCAAGGGGGGCTCCTTGGCGTGGTGAAGAGGCTCTTGGTCTGAGGAATTAGACCTGTCGGTCTCCTTCCTCAGACCGAACCTAATTACCCCCCAATCCCACCTTCCCTATCCCATCCTCCCCTTTTCTCTTTCCTCCTCCCCCTCCCCACCCCTCCCTTTTGCCCTTCCTCTTTTTGGCCTTTGGGATTTTTCCCACAGGTGCGCTAGTTCCTAGGTAGGGGAAAGGGTACCAGGGTCCATCCCATTCCATTGAGGTTCTTGGCGGTGGCGTAGTTTGCCGTGGAATCTGGATCGCCTGGGGATGTCCCGATCCCTCTCCAGTATCCGGGAGAGTGGCTTTGGGTGTCTTTCGGGCGACGGGTGTATCTCTGGAAGCCACCTTTCGGATTCCGGGGGTGGTGGCTGAAGGACGTATGCTTTGTGGCGGATATCCGGCCGCCCTCTCTTTTGTCCACCGAGGTAGCTCGGTAGATGTGAGGTTGCTATCCCGGATAGCTAGTTTACTGGCATGATGGGTAGGGTATGGCACGGGTTCCATGCTGCATCTACGCTACTTGTGGTGCTGAGGTCCTCTTGGGCGTGGAGGGAGATTTCTGGCCCTTTCATTCCTCCTAGGAACTATCCCTCCCCAGTCCCCCCTTTATTTTATTCTTTTTTTTTATTTTTATTTTCTTTTCTTTCTTTTTTTTCTTAAAAACAAAAAGAAAGAAGTAACCTAACCATGGCAGCCCTAGTCCGTGAACCTGATTCCCCCAGGCCCCTTCTTGATACCGCACCCCGTTCTGACCCTGCCTCGTCTTTGGACCACTCTTTGGACACTCCTCATGCCTCTGTACCTCCTGCCGTGCTGTTTCCTCACCCGCTTCAGGTACTGAGGTCTCGACTGACTCCTTTGATTTATCTGACCTCCGCTCTCCTTTGACTATGCTTCCGGCCTCTCCCTCTACGGTGCGGCAATTTTCGAATCGCCGGCCCGTTCCGCGTCGAACCAATTCTGGTCCCACGCCTAAATGCCAATGACAGTTACCTGCTGATGATACTTCTCCCCCTTCTCGTTCTTCTCAGAAAAGATCAACACGTCCTGCACTCCCTTTCCACGCTCAGTTTCAGACTGCACAATGGACTAAATTCTTCACTTTACGACCGACTTCCTCTACCACCTATCTTTCCGACCACAGTATTGGCAAGGCACTCCTACGCCATGTTGGTGAAGATATTTCTTTTCATGCTCTTAAGAGTGGCACATGCATCATCACTGTACAGAATGCTACCCAAGCTCATGATCTTTCTCTTCTTTCCCATATAGATACTGTTCCTGTCACTATTGAAAAACATCATTCCCTCAATTCTTGTAGTGGTACCGTCATTCTGCCCCATACCATAGTTCAACAAAACTTCCAGACATGTGGCAATGACATTCTTGAACAGCTGGAACTCCAAGATCTCCCAATCCTCAAGGTAGACACTTATGTTCTTCCTGCCCACGGGCGGAGACTATACCCTAGCAATGTGGCTCGTTTAACTTTTAACAGCCGTGAACTCCCATCCTCAGTTTGTGGAAGGACGTCGGTTACAAGTTCGAAACGTAATCCCTACACCGCAGCAGTGTAGAAATTGCTGGCGATTTGGCCATCCAGCTAAATATTGCAGATCCATAGCCTAATGCCCAGTCTGTGGTGCCGATGACCATTCTAATACGTCATGCAATCGACCTCCCTCTTGCCTTAATTGTCATGAGGCTCACCCTTCGTACTCTCGCCATTGCCAAGTCTACTTAAATGAGCGGGAAATCCATTACCTCAAAGAGGCAGAAGGTCTCCCTTATGCCATGGCAGTTTCTCATCTACGCCTCCGAGGGAGACTACCTCGTGTTTCTTATTCCCGTGTTTCAAAACGTCCCCCCACTTCTGGGGTCCCATCTTCTGCAGCCTCCTTTGTGGTTACCTCTCCCATAGTCACTCCTGTATCTAATTCTTTTGCTGTCCTAGGCTCAGACGTCCCTACTTCAACGCCTCAGTCTTTTCACGCTTCTTCGTGTTCTCCCTCACAAGCCTCAGTATCGACGAGACCTCGTACGACGCCTCCTCCCAATCATCCCTCTACTTCTCAGAAGCCAAAAAAAGGTCCTTTAACCCCTCCTTCCACCTCCTCATTTTACCTTCCCTGTCTCTGTACCGGGTTCTTCCCCTCTCACTGGCTCTGTTACAAGTGTAGAGGTTCACCCTCCTCCTCGTACTATACCTACCTCCCCTGTTCCCTCCCAGGTTTCCTCCTCTTCTGCCACCTCCCAGGTTTCTGCCTCTTCTGCCCCCTTCCACACTTCTCCAGTTCCCTCCACCCTTTCGCCCCCCCCTACCTTGGTACAGTCCATTACCGTTCCAATCTTTACTCATCTTCCCCCTACCATCTCCAATATTGTCTCCCATACGACGTCTCTGAATTCCGAAACACTTGAAGCAATCTCTGAATATATTGCAGAGACCAAACCATCAATGGACACTGATCCACCCTCTGTTCCTTCTCTCTCCTCTCCTCCATCTGCGCAACTCCTTTCTTCACAGCGCACCGTTCCTTCGCTGCTTGAACGTTTTCCGCTGCCTCTGCATGTGGACTTTTCTAACCCCTCTAGTCCGTAGGAACCCTTACCTGCGGATTTCAAGTATTTTTATTGCCAATCATGGCCTATTTACAGTGGAATATACGCGGCCTCAGGGGTAAGCTTCAGATGTTACTCTCCCAGTTTTCCCTTGTTGGTGTTTGCTTACAGGAACCAAAATTACAATCTGCTATTATCTCTCCCATCTCAGGCTATAATTTATTGTATTTGTCAGATCCTTTTCCTGATGGGACCTTTAATGAAAGTGCCCTGCTTCTACGCAATGATATTCCGTACCATCAGCTATTTGTTCGTACTTCGCTGCATTACACAGCAGCCTGTATCCACTTGCATAGGTGGTATACGCTCTGTTCTTTATGGCTCTCCTTCTGGGGATTATCTAATCCGATATTGCCTTTCTTCTTTCGTCATTACCGCCACCGATTTGTTACTTGGCGATTTTAATGCCCATCATTTCCTCTGGAGGGGTCTCACTGTGATTCCCGTGGCATTCAGTTAGAGGCTTTTCTTGCCACCCACCCCCTCCATGTTTTAAATACAGGTACTCACACCCATTTGATCCTCGGACTCCACTCTCTCTTGCATCGATCTCTCAGTCTGCTCTTCTCCGCCGCATTAGACTTCACTTGGTCTGTTCTCCAGGACTTGCATGCAGCGATCATTTCCCAATCATTTTACTTCCCCCCATATTCACCACCCCTTCGCATCCCCCGCTGGCAATTTGATCAGGCAAATTGGAACCTTTATTCACACCTAACTGTTTTTAGAGGTTCCTTCTTCGTCCTCCATTTATGAGCTTTTACACCTCTTCTTGTCCTCTGTTTTAAAACCCCCGCTTCTAATTGTATACCCCAAACTTCGGGGAGGCATTCTCAGAAAAAGGGATGCCTGGTGGTCTCCTGCTTGTGCTCGTGCAGTACGTTTGAACGCGCTGCATGGGGCAGGTACCGGTACAATAGAACCACGGTGAGACTTCTTGATTTT